GGTATGCACATTTGAATATATATGTGCACAGGCGTGTAGTCCTTCACAAATCAAAACTCAACAAACTACTTTATAATACAGACATTTTTGTCGCGTCTGCGCAGGGGCGATTCTAGGATTTTTTCAACTGGGGGGCACAAGAGGGGCCACAATTATTACAGAGGGGCCATTCTTATGTTGTGTATTTATATAGAACTGTAGATATCAAAATCATTTCAAGTTCAGTAAGCTTTAAAATCAGCAATAAACAGTGATACCCTATTATCTTTTAATAGCAGTTATTCACTGCTCTAAATCAAAACAATAAAATACAATTTATATTAACTTTTCACTTTACAAAAGTGAAAGAAAAACTGTAATAAATAAAATAATCCAATGTATTAGTGTACAACTCACAAATAATACAGGGGCGTAGCAGCCATTATAAAAGTGGAGTTTTTTTGTGATTGTTAAGGGCAAAAATCCTTGATTATGCGGCGATGGAATATGCAGGATATTTATGCAATTTTATGTGATGAAATTGCGGGAACTTGCAAAAACTGCGGTTTGATGAAAAAGAGATTCCCTAACACCCTGTTCTCACTAGGCTACTACCTTAATGTAAAGAGCTATTTCTTATTACTTCCTATGATAAGCAAACATACTACATCACAGAAAGTGCTGGAATATTTCATTTTGTTTTATTTTTCAGACCTTAATAAACACATGGCTCAAACTTACAAAACATTGATGAGTCAAACAAGTTCTGTAGCTTTACAAAAGGAGTCTGAGTATTTCACAATCTGCTCAGTTACTGGGATTTTCACGCACAACCATTTCTAGGGTTTACAAAGAATGGTGTGAAAAGGGAAAAACATCCAGTATGAGGCAGTCCTGTGGGCGAAAATGCCTTGTTGATGCTAGAGGTCAGAGGAGAATGGGCCGACTGATTCAAGCTGATAGCAGGGGCGGACTTAACCATTAGGCAAAGGTCGGCAATTGCCTTGGGCCCCGAGCTACCCAGGGGTCCCCAAAACGCCCCATTAAATTATGCTTAAGTTTTTATTTATTTTTTTACTTTTTGCAAATTATATGTTTCTAAAAAACATTTGCGAAAAAAGGCATCAAATCATTAGTGTCGCAGACAGGAGAGGGCCCCCCACCTCACTACATTGGACTATTCTCACTTTCTGCGTGCGAAAGTGACAAGGCTATAATGCGCCAAAAAACTGAAGGAGAAAAATAAGTTATTGACAGACAGTGTAGGCTACAGAGTGACAGACAGAGAAGCTACCCAAGCAGTGCTGAAAAAGCAGGAAGCAGGAGGAAAGCAAAACGTTTTTAGCAAAATTGCAGAAGGTAACAAACTTTTTTGTGGTATGTGCTAACGATATGTTACAAGTCCATGGCTGTGCAGCTATGAGGTGACCGAGGTCCGGAACTCTGTCATATTTTACATTCAAAAATAAAATGTCAAGCTCTCTGAATGATTAATTAGCCGTTTAAACCACCTCATATGAGTGTTTGCAATGCATGTTGCTGCGAGAAGCTAGCGCAGTGAACGGGGCTTGAGAGCGCGTTGTGAGTGAGGGCGCGCGTGCAGCCTCCGTGTTGCCAGATCCACCTAATGGAAAGGTGGCAGTAGTCTTCTGGACTTGTTTTTTCTGATTTAATGTAACACTTTAGAAAAATTATTAAAGTGGAAAGTTGCATGTTAGGGTTAGTGATATATTAATCTTATTTCCAAAACACAAGTTTTGAACTTATTTCGGATTATTATTATTTTGTTTTCTTGTTTTTCGCAGCAATATCTGGCAACATTTTACTGTCGGCATTAGGCCTAATAAAAAAAAGCTTATAGACAAACTGTAATAACTGGCATAAAGCTACCACATTCGGTAAGACAAACGCAATGATCATCGTGATTATCTGTAAGAAATGTATAACACTATCAAAAACTATAGCATAATACAGATCTGTATGAATGAAATTTGCCAAATAACTTACTGGCCAGCAGGAAGACGGCTCATGCTGTTTAGTTAACCTTTCACAAAGTCATCATAAAAACATTAATTAAAGCAGTGTTTCTCAACTAGCAATCTATTCAGTCAGCATATTTGTGTTTGATCTCTGTGAATTACAGAAATATAAGACTTGCTAGACCTACTTTTTTTCTATATTTCTTTGCACAAAACTCTCCAGAAAGTGCCATGTAATAGTTTATTTAAAAAAAAAAAAAAAGATTTTTTTTTTTTCGTTCTCTTTTAAAGATTGGATGGGGGGCCCCATACTACCTTCGCCTTGGGGCCCCAATTTGCTAAATCCGCCACTGGCTGATAGAAGAACAACTTTGACTGAAATAACCACTCGTTACAACCGAGGTATGCAGCAAAGCATTTGTGAAGCCACAACACACACAACCTTGAGGCGGATGGGCTACAACAGCAGAAGACCCCACCGGGTACCACTCATCTCCACTACAAATAGGAAAAAGAGGCTACAATTTGCAAGAGCTCACCAAAATTGGACTGTTGAAGACTGGAAAAATGTTGCCTGGTCTGATGAGTCTCGATTTCTGTTGAGACATTCAGATGGTAGAGTCAGAATTTGGCGTAAACAGAATGAGAACATGGATCCTTCATGCCTTGTTACCACTGTGCAGGCTGGTGGTGGTGGTGTAATGGTGTGGGGGATGTTTTCTTGGCACACTTTAGGCCCCTTAGTGCCAATTGGGCATCGTTTAAATGCCACGGCCTACCTGAGAACTGTTTCTGACAATGTCCATCCCTTTATGGCCACCATGCCATGTACCCATCCTCTGATGGCTACTTCCAGCAGGATAATGCACCATGTCACAAAGCTCGAATCATTTGAAATTAGTTTCTTGAACATGACAATGAGTTCACTGTACTAAAATGGCCCCCACAGTCACCAGATCTCAACCCAATAGAGCATCTTTGGGATGTGGTGGAACGGGAGCTTCGTGCCCTGGATGTGCATCCCACAAATCTCCATCAACTGCAAGATGCTATCCTATCAATATGGGCCAACATTTCTAAAGAATGCTTTCAGCACCTTGTTGAATCAATGCCACGTAGAATTAAGGCAGTTCTGAAGGCGAAAGGGGATCAAACACAGAATTAGTATGGTGTTCCTAATAATACTTTAGGTGAGTGTATATGTGACTTTCTTTTTTGCAACAAAAATGCGGGGATTATGAAATCATACAAGCCCCGCATATTTTGCGTGGAAATCGGCAATTTATACGGCAAAAGTGCGGCGTATTTGAAAAAATGCCCCCGCATAAATATGCAGACTTTGGCTGATTATGCATTGAATCATGCTATCAAATAATCGCGTTTTTCTGGAGGGACTGAAAGGTGATGTTCATAATAATAAATTCTAGATGGAATAGCAATTGGCATTTTACAGCACCCTAGTGGCAATTTTGGGAACATGCCATGATAGCTTACAGCAACCTATTTTTGTGAAATCATACTCAAAATAAAAAAATTATTGCAGGACTTGGGACTTTCAGACAACTGTGGACATCTATACTTTATTTTTATGAAATAAAGATATTTTATGATATTTACAATGTTTCAGTTAAACTACACTTGAACAATAACTTTTATCTTAACAGTTGGACCAAAAAAAAAAGTGTTCAATGAGTATACAGATTACATCTAGCCTACAGTAATTTTATACAACAGACATTTTATAAAAATATATGAATAAAACCTAAATCAATGTATTCTGTTTTGGACATCAATTTAACATTGACATTAGATGTTGAATTTACATTAAATTTTGGTCACCCGACGTCGCAACCAAAATTTAACCAAATATCAACGTCTTATGACGTTGTGTGCCTGCTGGGAATAATCTGTTATGTCTCATTTAACAGACGCTTTTGTCCAAAGCAACAAGTAGGAGAGCATTTAACACACACTCGACACAATCCGGCGCGACGAAGTCCATACGGGTTCTGTTGTCTTACACAGGGCCACGGGGTCTTACACGTTACAGTAGGTTAAATCATAACAAGGAAACTTTACGTGTGATTCATGTCATCGCGACATACTGTAACACATTATACTTACAGTGTGTGTTTGAAAAAAATGATGTAATCGTCCTCTGCTTTTTTTCTGGGGTGCATGCATGGAATACATTAGACGGCCAAACAGCAAAGCGACTAAACAAACACGAAAATTCGCAAGAGGAACAAGAGATTCGAAGCTCATGGCAGACGCGCCCAATAGATGCTTCGCGCTGTTAGTTCACTCAAGTCTAGTTAGGCGCATTATCTTGGTCTGCTCTAAGAGAATACATCAAGCCTGGTCTGTCCTAACACTGAAAGACGGTACCAAACTCTAGCACTGCAACAACTCGCTAATCGAAAAAAATAAGCTGTATAAAATACTCGCTATTCTTGGTCCTCGTTGAGAAGCATCGCGACGCGGAATCATGAATATTCTACTACAAGCTGAAAGATTATGATTTGAATTTTTGAGTGACAAACAAGTAGAAGGGTGGGGGCACACTGGGGGCCAATCAGTTTTCAGGAGGGGCCAGTGCCCCCATGGCCCCTCCCCTGTCTACGCCACTGCGTCTGCGTAGCCACGTAATTATCTGGACAACGTTTTATCTGTACAGAGGTAAAGGGAGGGAGGCCTTCACAGGGGAGAGACTAGTGACACTTCAGGACTGCGTTGTCGTCGTGTCTGGGCGCAGGTCCTTCATCAGATCTGGATACGGCGTGGATCCGGCGGACTGCGGTAAACCTCGGGACAAACAGAGAGACTAATATTAGCGTAGACCCCATCCTTCTTATGAAGTACCAAGTACATCAGGATTTATGGGAAGTGTTCCCGTTTCCGGCTGACCTTATCTATGCAGCCTAACATTGAATTATAGAAGTCTATAAAGTGTTATGTGTATGCTATGTCAAAGAGATGTGTTTTTAGTCTAGATTTAAACTGACGGACAGTCTGCTTCCCGGACAATGTTAGGAAGATTGTTCTAAAGTTTTGGTGCTAAATAGGAAAAGGATCTATCTGAAGGAGACCCTGCAGTTGCTCTGCTGTCCTCTAGAGGCGGTAAATGGAAGTGTTTCACTCAGTTTCACAGCTGGACGGCGCTGTCACTCGTTCACTCTCTCTATTTTTTCATGTAATTGTCTGTTCGCTGAAACCATCACACTTTCATAAGCACATGTTCATCATTTGCTCATTTACATTATTTATATGTTGAGAGAACTCGATCTCGATCTAAACTGTGCCGGAGGATTAGTGTCTGTTTTTGCGTCAGATCTGCAGTAAACTTCATCTGAACTTCTGTGTGGAGGGAACCGATTCATATTGAAGTGTTTTAATCACGACAACAACATGAAGATCATTCAGCTTCAGCTCTGTGAGTTTATTACATGATATTTACGCTACCAGTCAAAAGTTTTGGATCGGTAAGATTTTTTATGTTTAAAAAAAAAGTCTCTTATGCTCACCAAGGCTGCATTTATTTAATAAAAACAGTAATATTGTGAAATATTATAATTTAAAACAGCTGTTTTCTATGCGAATATATAGTAAATTCTAGTTTAATCCTGTGATCAAAGCTGAATTTTCAGCATCATTACTCCAGTCTTCAGTGTCACATGATCCTTCAGAAATCAGTCTAATATGATGATTTAAGAAGCATTTCTCATTATTATCAATGTTAAAAACAGTTATTTACAATTTTATTTCAGGATTCTTTGATGAATAGAAAGTTCAAAAGAACAGCATTTATCTTAAATAGAAAGCTTTTCAAAAGTTCAAATGTTTGGGGTAAGTAAGAATTTTCTTTAAAGATTATTTTTAAGAAATAAAAGAAATCAATACTTTTATTCATCAAGGATTAATTAAATTGATCAAAAGTGACCGTAAAGACATTTATAATGTTACAAAAGATTTTTTTTTTTTTTTTTAAATAAATGCTGTTCTTTTGAACTTTCTATTCATCAAAGAATCATGACTTTTTTTTTTACAAAACTGTTTTCAACATTTATAAGTCATATTAGAATGATTTCTGAAGAATCATGTGACACTGAAGACTGGAGTAATGATGCTGAAAATTCAGGTTTGATCACAGGAATAAATTATATCTTAAAATAGTTCAAATAGAAAACAGTTACAGTATTTTAAATTGTCATAATATTTAACAATATATTACTGTTTTTTTGTTGTATTTTTAATCAAATAACTGCAGCCATTGTGAGCAAAAGAGACTTCTAAGAAAAATTAAAAATCTTACCTATCCAAAACTTTTAAACGGCAGTGTACATTATTAATCTTGCAGCTGTTTCATAAAGTGTTATTTATATGACTTCCCAGTTTTAAGTAAGCTATCTAAATTATGATGCATGTTTTATCTTATAGATGTATTAATCTGTTGTCGAGCTGCAGTGTCAGATCAACTCACTGATGTGGGATCAAATGTGACCATAAACTGTGATCTTGATGAAAATGAGGTTTATTGGATTTTACTGAAAACACCAGATCCTCCAACAGTGATTCTACGATCATTCCCAACACCAAAGTCACCTTTTTACACAAATAATGCATTCAGAAAGAAATATTCTGTGATATTTAAACACCGTCTGGTTATTAATAATGTAACTGCTGATGAATTAGGAGTTTATTACTGTATGAAAACAGGCACACCTCCAAAACTCAGCAACAGCACCAGACTGCACTTCACCGGTGAGTTCATTTACTCCTTCAGTGATCAAGACGTTGATGCTTACATGTGTCATTTACTTCCTTCACTCTTTTCTTTCTTTCCAGAATCAACTCAACTGACCGAGTGTCTCAATCACACAGTGGTGGAGTTTATTGATCAGAATCAGACACAATGGCAGATTATTATCATCATATCTGGACTGATGAACGGGCTGCTGCTCATTGTGCTGATCGGTGAGTGACTGTTCTTTAAGAAAAACTAAATTAGGAAATATAATATATTAGTGTGTGGTGCCATTTGTAACAATATAAAGATGATGCTCTTCTTCTCCAATAGGCAGGTGAAGTTTTTTCTAATAATTCGTTTTTTGACTATTATTTTGTTTGTCTTTCCACATATACTGTTACAATTTAAGGATTTTGAATCTGAATTCACTGTTTCATTTTTAGTTTTTGCAGTTAGAAAAACAGAACGGCTGGAAAAAAACATTTATAATCCTGATTTACTGCTGACAAAAGTTATGTATGAGCCTCAGGACCCAAACCTATCAGGTACATTATATGAAATCATTCATATCAATACTAAAATTAATGAGTGTAAGTCTTGATAATCATGTAGGATTGCTGATGACCTTTTATTCCAAAAATCTAAAGTAGCCTTTTGTTTTGATTAGTTTTGGTTGAACTGCAGCTGAAATGCTAATATTGTTTTCTCAATATTGTTTTCAGGATGCTGAGAGGGAGTTTATGAGCTGCATAAAATATTCAGCATCCAAATGCAGCAACTGTACGTGTGACTATAAGACATGTTCATAAAATATCATGTGCTTTACATTGTGCATCATGTCAAGATCGTATTGTTTTACAGTGTAATATCAGGAGTATTGGAGAGACTGGGGCTTTTTTTTTTTACTTTTACACCAATAAAATTGTTGAAAATTGATTATAAAGTCTGTTTCTCTATTTGCACAAACCTTAAAGTCCTGTCTATTAAACAGTTATTGTCTGGGGAAAATATATAGACTCATATTATGACTTTATGATTCACACATTAAACATCATTGTCAGATTCATTGATAAAAAGTCTTTCGATCATATTGATGTTTGGTTGTTAATTCGGTCAGGATTTGCATATAAAATGTAAAGATTGTAGCGAACAATAAATTAAATGGAAAAAATAAAAGTGGTTGTTTAAAAATGGCCTGGCGTGAATAATGGTTAATTGTTATTATTATAACTTATTTTATTATTATTATAATGTATTATAATAATATTTTTGTAACTTTTTTTCTTTTCTTTTTTAAAGGAAAGAAAAAAGATACAGGCTTCATCATGTGGTTAAACTCATCTGAAACAAACCAAAACCAGAAACATTTGGTCAGTTGACAGCAGTGATAAACAGAGTCTGTCACCTTTGTCTAGAGTTGAGGTTTAACTGTGAATCGAGTGTTTTTCCAGTACCTTTATACATTTATGAATGTCAGTTCTCACAGTTGTCTAAAACTCAACTGGAAACAGCAACATTGCTTTGTTTGTATATCTACAGCATATTTAGTGTAGAGACTGACAAGTGTTTTAATGCATGGAAAAAAAACCTATACACTTGATACTGTAGTACTGTGAGCGCGGAAACACAAACCTCGACCACACTGACAAGAGAGGAAGTCAGAGATGACCTCATGATCACAGCACTTTTATTTAATCTTTTTACATTCCTCAAATAATTTTGAAATTAATACTAACAAGGTTGATTTTTTTATGATAAAGTGTAACTTGAAAATTTAAAGAATATATTTTGTTCTAAATACTACAAAAGAAAGGTTAACACAAATGTCAAACCAGTAAAGCAGCATTAACCTAAGGACATCCTGCAGTTGCTCTGCTGCCCTCTAGAGGCGGTAAATGCAAGTGTTTCACTCAATGTCACCAAGGCTTCACCGCTGGATGGCAGCTGTCCCTCGTTGACTCTCTATTTTTCATGTAATTGTCTGTTCGCTGAAAACATCACACTTTCATAAGCACATGTTCATCATTCGCTCATTTATAGTGTTTAGGGAATGTCGAGAGAACTCGATCTGTGTCGGATTTGCGTCAGATCTGCAGTAAACTTCATCTGAACTTCTGTGTGGAGGAAATCCGATTCATATCGAAGCGTTTTAATCACGACAACAACATGAAGATCATTCAGCTTCAGCTCTGTGAGTTTATTACATGATATTCACATATGATTCACATTAATCTTGCAGATGTTTCATAAAATCGTTATGACTTCACAGTGGTTTACGAGCTATCTTAATTATAATGCATGTTTTATCTTATAGATGTATTAATCTGTTGTCGAGCTGCAGTATCAGATCAACTCACTGATTTGGGATCAAATGTGACCATAAACTGTGATCTTGATGAAAATGAGGTTTATTGGATTTTACTGAAAACACCAGATCCTCAAACAGTGATTCTACGGTCATTCCCAACACCAAAGTCACCTTTTTACTTAAATTATGCACCCAGAAAGAAATATTCTGTGATTTTTAAACACTCTCTGGTTATTAATAATGTAACTGCTGATGAATTAAGAGTTTATTACTGTATGAAAACAGGCACACCTCCAAAAAATTAGCAACGGCACCAGACTGCACTTCACCGGTGAGTTCATTTACTCCTTCAGTGATCAAGACGTTGATGCTTACATGTGTCATTTACTTCCTTCACTCTTTTCTTTCTTTCCAGAATCAACTCAACTGACCGAGTGTCTCAATCACACAGTGGTGGAGTTTATTGATCAGAATCAGACACAATGGCAGATTATTATCATCATATCTGGACTGATGAACGGGCTGCTGCTCATTGTGCTGATCGGTGAGTGACTGTTCTTTAAGAAAAACTAAATTAGGAAATGAAATATATTAGTGTGTGGTGCCATTTGTAACAATATAAAGATGATGCTCTTCTTCTCCAATAGGCAGGTGAAGTTTCTATTAATTATTATTTTGTTTGTGTCTCCATATATACTGTTACAATTTAAGGATTTTGAATCTGAATTCACTGTTTCATTTTTAGTTTTTGCAGTTAGAAAAACAGAACGGCTGGACAAAAACATTTATAATGCTGATTTACTGCTGACAAAAGTTATGTATCAGCCTCAGGACCCAAACCAGTCAGGTACATTATATGAAATCATTCATATCAATACTAAAATTCATCACTGTAAGTCTTGATAATCATGTAGGATTGCTGATGACCTTTTATTCCAAAAATCTAAAGTAGCCTTTTGTTTTGATTAGTTTTGGTTGAACTGCAGCTGAAATGCTAATATTGTTTTCTCAATATTGTTTTCAGGATGCTGAGAGGGAGTTTATGAGCTGCATAAAATATTCAGCATCCAAATGCAGCAACTGTACGTGTAACTATAAGACATGTTCATAAATATCATGTGCTTTACATTGTGCATCATGTCAAGATCGTATTGTTTTACAGTGTAATATCAGGAGTATTGGAGAGACTGGGGCTGGTTGTTACTTTTACACCAATAAAATAGTTAAGAAATTGATTATAAAGTCTGTTTCTCTATTTGCACAAACCTAAAGTCCTGTCTATTAAACATTTCTACAGTTATTGTCTGGGAAAAATATCTAGACTCATACTATTTATGATACATAGACTTTATGATTCACACATTAACCTCCTGAGACCCAAGGAAAAAAAGTGTCACCAATTTTTTTTTTGTGTGATTTCCTACTTATTTGGGGTAAAAAAAAAACATTTTATAATTTAGAGTTTTTAAATTTTATTTTTATTTTAAATTTTACACCATGTCCACTGTAGTGGACCACAGGACCAATTTAGTTTGAAAAGACAGCCGAACTCAGAAAACAAAAACATTTACAGAATATGGCTGTAGAGTGATATTAATCCAACAAAACAAAACAAAAACAAATTATCATTCTGGATTGTTTCACTTGCTTAGCAGTGATAGTTCTGGAACAGTTTATTTCTAAAAGACAGCCGAAGAACAGAATATGGCTATAGAGTGAAATTAATCCAAGAATAAATTCAACATAAAAAAAATAAAAAGTAATTATTATTCTGGATTGTTTCACTTGCTTAGTGGTGATACTCTTGGAAGCATTTTCTCTTCTTGGTAATGCAGAGAAACACCTTGCATTTGGTACACCTCATGTACGTCTTGCTTTTGCAGCCCTTATTTCTGCACCTTTCCGCATGGTTGATTTCTACCATCTCTGGCATGTGGGCGGCTCCTAGTCTGCGCTAGGGCTGTCAACGAATATTCTAAATTCGAATATATATTCGAATAGTTTTAAAAAACAGAAATTCGAAGGTGAAAATTAATATTCAAATCATGTGGAAAAACACGCGCGCGGTAGCAGAGTCGCGGCTGTCTGCTTTGCGAGTGGCAAAATTCTGAAGCTTAAAATGTAAAACGCATTTTCCAGCTGCACAGCTAGCACAGTGAGTGTCTGGCTCACTTATTGGCTGTGCTGCGGCAACTGCACATCCAATGGCACGGGCGCCTCCAACGTGTGCGCCAATGAACTAGCATTACATCAGACACGTCAGAGCCCGCCAAGGGGGCGTGGCCAGACGCCCTCGAAATAGCCATAGTAGCAGGCTAGCTAGCAGCAGTTTACCCATGAGTTTACCACAGCACAGCTCGCTCGGAGCGTTCAATGTTGGTTCTATATACTGCAAAACTTCAATTAATGTTAATAATATTTGTTTCAATCACCGAATGAAGCCTGCTATATTTAGGACAAGAGTCGCGACCTTACATTGCTTGCACAAAACTCTTGATCAGCACTCAACATTTGTTTATTGTTGTTCATTTAAACCGTTATGCGCAGAGAGCGTGAGGGCGACAGAGAGAGAGAGAGAGAGAAAGAGTGCCTGCGAGTGCGAGCGAGAGTAAGGTCTGCGGTCTTGGCCATTAGTTGATTTACTTGGTTTTGTGTAAGTTAATACGTTGTCAAATATATTTAAACTTAAATAAACTACCTGTACAAGTAGTTGTGTCTCTTTGTATTAATTTGTCCTGTTATTGACAAAATGCGTAACCAGATATTCGAATAGTTCGAATATATGTTTTTTTTTTAGAGGGAATATTCGAACGTCATTTTTGAGCAATTTTGACAGCCCTAGTCTGCGCACAGATGGTTCGGGTTGTGGGATCCTCATTTTAGTTGGTGGCTCATACTCTTCTTCACTTGTTTCACTGCTGTCATCAAGTTCTGGACATTCCAACAACTCCTTAGCTAGATGCAATTTGAAGTCCAGGTACTGTTTGGTGTTCTTCGCTGGTCTGTTAAGTGCTTTGCTGTCAGACTTGTATTGGATCCACGAGTTTGTGATGGCAACATCAAAGAAGTGAGTAATTACACGCAATGTCCATTTCTTGGACCTATTTGACATGCAGCATGCGGTCACACAGGTCCACCCATGTTGTCATACTCCCTGATCACTGCTGGTCTTCTCACTGGGACATGGACTTTTTCTTTTTTGGACTATCTGTTGCAGACATCTTCAGGATCTTTCCCATGAACTGTGGAGGCCATTAGCTCTGGTTTGTTGTCATACCATTTTGGGATTGCCAGCTCAGGACTCTTTCTGACCATAGACACTGATCCTGCTCTCCCCTCTTTTTTCATCACCTTGTCGCTTGGCAGTTTGCTCTGCTTTGGGACTCGGTTCTTCATTATGGTTCCTGTTGCTGGAAGGCCCTTTGCCAGCACTGCATTCATGAGATTGATTGTTGTGAAGTATCGGTCGAAGAATAGGTGACTTCCAGTGGGAACAGACTCAACCATGCGTAGGACTGCTGCTTGTCCAACTCCCAGTCTTTGGCCATTGAATGTATTCTTCCCTTGGTACACTTCAAAATCCACCATCAGACCATTTGGAAAAGCAAGGACAAAGACCTTTAGGCCTGTAGGGTTTGGCTTGCCTGGAACATATTGTCTGACTGGACAGCGGCCTGTGAAAGGGATGATTTGCTCATCAATGCAGACCTTCTCTGTCTTTGGGAGGTTGAGGCAGCCTTGCCTTACACGGTCAAGAAATGGCCTGACTTTCCAAAGAATGTCCTCTGTTATAGCCAGGTCATCCACAATCTTGAGTGAGCTTCAAGCTTGAAAAACCTATCCCTTGCCATTTTGCTGCTTATAACTGGCACTTTTGTTTTTTTGACCCAAAACATTTTAATTCTGGGATATCCTAGGCAGGCCATGTGGATCGAAATGCCAAAGAAAATCTTCCTTTCTTGTGGAGTAGTATTTAGAGACACTCCTCTAGTTTGTAGCTCTCTTTGATTTGTAAATTCAGCCAAATTCTCGAAAATGTTGTTGTCAATGTACTGGGAAAGTACAGAATTGGACTCCAGTCTGCACGGGCAGTAGGGTTATCTTTACAGTCCGGAAGCCCATTCAAACAAATATATTTAAATCTCAGTGGTATGGATGTGATATGGTCTCCTATTGACCACTCGTTAGTAAAAACTTTGCATTGTTTAGCCAATTTGCATATTTCATGATACCACGTGGATAATCTTCAAGCCTCACTGATAAATTATTTTTATCACTGATGATTTATCACTGGTTGTATTGAAGTGTGTGTGTGTGTGTCTGTGTGCGTGCGTGTGTGGCTAACTACTAGAACTGAATAAATGATCCTGGAACTAAATAATTAATAATTAATTTATACGTGTTACTCCTGGTCCACAGAGGGCGACGTCTTTCCTGCTGTGTCTGATTCTGTCTGCTCATCTGAGTCTCTTGCTTTCTTCCTCTTCTTCACCATCTTCTGAATCTCCCTCAACTATCTTATAAAGAATCCTCTCTGCTTCAGTTCTGTCTCCTACAACATGGAGTCATTAAGTACATTTAGATGGTCCTGGTGTCCACTATAATTGACATTCATAAAAAGGATAACATTTTTAAACACAAACAATTTAACTGTTTTTAGGACTACATTAATTATTCCTGACACTTTAATATACAAAGTATATTATACATATATATATATTATACAAATATATGGTAATAATAGTATTTTTTTTTTTTAAACCAGTATTTTACATACCTCTCTCCTTTCCATAAAATGTGCTGCTTGTTATGGCGGCCATTTTTGATGCAGTGTAAGTAGTTTATTGCATTCCAGCCAATCAAATGACATATCATGAGAAAGCCCAGGATGTTTTCTGTGCAGTACAGCAGGAATTTATAGAGTAGATAAAAAAATTCAAAGAACATTCATGAAAACAAAAGGTCCACTACAGTGGACACAAGTCAATGTGTGTCATTGTCAGATTCATTGATAAATGGTCTTTCGATCATATTGATGTTTGGTTGTTAATTCAGTCAGGATTTGCATATAAAATGTAAATATGTGATTGTAGCGAACAATAAATTAAATGGAAAAAAGAAAAGTGGTTGTTTAAAAATAGCCTGGCGTGAATAATGGGTCATTTTTAATATTATAACTTATTTTATTTATTTTTATTTATTTTTTTAAGGAAAGAAAAAAGATACAGGCTACATCATGTGGTTAAACTCATCTGAGAAACAAACCAAAACCAGAAACATTTGGTCAGTTGACAGCAGTGATAAACAGAGTCTGTCACCTTTGTCTAGAGTTGAGGTTTAACTGTGAATCGAGTGTTTTTCCAGTACCTTTATACATTTATGTATCTCAGTTCTCACAGTTGTCTAAACCTCAACTGGAAACAGCAACATTGCTCTGTCTGTATATCTACAGCATATTTAGTGGAGAGACTGACAAGTGTTTTAATGCATGGAAAAAACCTTTACACTTGATACTATAGTTTATATCACTGTGAATATTCAACAGTTAATAGACTGCTACTGTCAGGGTCACTTTACATGATTCGAGAGTTATTCTCAGATGATTGGAGAAAATAAATAAATGCTTTTACATAGAAATGCTTAAACTAGGGCCTCATGGTGAAAAGCAAAGCAAAATAAAACTTTAAAAAGCATAAAACATTCACATTTACATTGGTGTCTGTATAGATGTAGATGTATGAATCCTATTGTTGCAATTCACTTTTATAGAAGTTTATCATGCTATAGTTTAGTTTTACATTCCAATCCTAGAAATGTGAAAAGGGTCAATATTGTGTTCAACAGCTCTGCTGCCCTCTGCAGGACATTCATGGTACACACACAGATTCCCCTGTACTTGTATTTTTTGTGAACAATTAAGAATAAACATTACATTAAAAGACAAAACACAACAAAGATAAATAAATAACATGACCATTAGTTCCATTGCAAACATATAATCCTCAACAACACAAGGATATGCTAACACAGTCTCATCCCAAGACGTCATATGACTGACGCTTTTGACCATACGTCAACATCCGACGTTTTAGG